CAGTGTTAGCAGAGAAATACATTAACAAAGTTTTATCCATAAACTGTAAATAAATATGAGACATCCAGAAGAAATCAATATTACAAAGCATACAGTTCATGTTACTGTTCTGACAAAAAGAGGAATGTCTGTGTTTTATATTCACTGATGTCAACAGCGATGAGGTGAACATGACAACTGAAAAATAATTATTTAGTATTTATTATAAGACATTTGTTTTCTATAGAACCTGTGAAGTCATGGAGTCTGTGGACAGTGTCAGCTTCACACCAAAAACTTTAAGTATTAGAAAAAATAATGTTTAAGACTGGTATCTATTATGATGAGTTGCAGCTACCTTGTTCAATATTATTCCTGCAGATGTGGCTCATAACAAAAAAACAGCCTGAGCTGTCACATGTAGTTAACTGTACATGTTGTCTGAGGCATTAATTGAACACCTTTGTATTTCTCCTATAGACACAGTGTGGATTATTGGTGACTGGTCCATCGAGGTGCCCAGAGAGCTGCAGAGACAGAGGAAGAAACCTGAGCCTCAACAACATCTGTATTTGTTGGTTCTTCTGAGGTGGACTTCAGTTTCTTCTCTTCAACAGCTCGCTGTGAGGGAGGTCTCCCCCGGATGGCCTGAGTGATGTCACCCACAGGCTGAGAGCTGGAGCTGAGGCGGGTGTCAAACATATATTATGTTGATGAGAACCAAAGACGACAGCTTCAGTGTTTCTGTACATTAAAAAAAAATGTAATATGTTAAAAGTCACACAAACAAACCGACGTTACAGCGAAACAAACGCTTCACATTCAAACCGAATCACACAGAATCTCTCAGTACAGTAACGGTACAACTACGCTCACGTGCCCAGAGTTTAACACGGTCGATAAAACGTTTCATTTACAAAAAAATATCACAATTAGAAAATTAAGAGAAGGTTTTAAAAAAAATACACTTTAAAAACATGTCGACACTAAAAATATCAGACGTCATCGGTGGCTTAAGTTAAAGTCCAAGGGTCACTCCTCCCGCTGACGTCTCAGACTCGACCACCCCAGCTCCGACTGAGACCTGCTGGATCATTATCTACTTGATTATATTCTGTTAAAGAATGTGAGGATGGTGGAAGTGCAGCCAATGAATGAACGATCTGTGAGTCATTAGTGTCACAATAAGGACAGTTTACATCTCCATCAGTTAGCCTATCATCTATGGAAAGATGAAACAAGCAGTACATAGCCAGTACAGGTGTTCAATATCTTGTTGCTCCTCACATTGAGTCAAATAGGACGCAGGAAGCTCAGGGGAACTTGTAGTATATGCTGCATGACAGTGTCAGTACATAGTAACCCAGAGGTGAAGAAAAAACTGCAACGTATTGAGATGAAAACAGGCTGTCCTTTGTGTACTTTTCTGTTACAGTGATTTATCCATTTCTGTCCTCTTACAGACTGAAAGGAGTTTCCATCAGAGCAGAGGATTCACTTCCTGTCAGAGCCTCATACTCGAGTCTCCGGCAGGATTTGCACAAGTGTCAACTGGACATTCAGAACTCATTCTGTAACCACTAACAGGACTTTATGGGGGTCTGTTTAGACCAGTCTCCTCCTCTGCTTGACTGACATGCTGTAATGGAGGGAGATGTTATGGAGGAGCTGCTTGTTGATGAAATGAATACACTAAGTGCAGCAGGCCAAAGACACCAAAGTACTGGAGGATACCTGCGGTCGCCACCTCCCTCCTCCTGTCAGCGTTACCACACAGCTCCTCGTCGCACCGTGGTTGTGTTGTAGTCTACGTTGTTAGTTTGACACCGTACCACATGCTGCACACACCTCACACTCAGCCGGCACACTGACTCACTGACAAACACACCTCACTCCTGTTGTTAATGCTGGTTGCTGTTGGTACATTTTGTATTCAACTTTTGCACCGTTTAGTTCAACCTTCTGTTTCCCTTGTTTCAGGCCTGAAGAGCCGGCTCATGACAACATGAACAGTTCTCTTACTGCATGGCGGCGTACGAGAAAGCATGTTTAGAAAGCTCATTTCTGTCTCACTAGTTCTTCACTGAAGGATGAGGATCAACAGGCTGCCATACTTCATGCTGGAGATGTCTTTGGGTACTGACTGTGGTCTCTGTGGACTGAATCAATCCAGGAAGTGAATTAAAGATTACAGATGACTAATGAGGGTTGATGGGTGGGGATTGAATATTGATGCTTCTGTGTCTCATGTGGATGAATGATGATCAGCTCAAATAAACACCTCCTTGGCCCTCCAGTGGTGTGCATTCAGCGCCGTCTTTTCCCAAACATCTGGCTGTCCTACAGTCCTGTTCCGAATAGTATGCACTGACAAATGTTCTCTCCATCAAATCAGGTCCATTGTGATTCCATTCTCAAGTGAAGATAGAGACTTAGAAAAGGGACAAAGCTGACTTCATGGGAGTGACAGTATGGTCAGAGGAAGAGAAGAGGTCTACATAGGAGTGATAGCAGTCTGTGCTTACTGTAGGTGCACTTTATAATAATGGATTAAAGAACATTCTCAACTCTCTTGCCCCAGGGAAAACACGGTCTGTTTCCTTTCTCCTCAACTGCCCCCTGGTATACCCCTGAGCTCCGGACAATGAAAACTAAAGGTGGACAACTTGAGCGACTCTACAAAAAAAACAGGTCTCTCTATACATAAGGAAATGCACAAAACCCATATAGTACACTACAAGGACTCAATTGCTCAAACCAAACCCAACTATATGCTCATATCTTAATCTCCTCTTGTGTTTTAACTTGGTCATTTCTTATCTTACTTACTTTGTCTATTTATGTTTCGTATTTATAGTTAATTTTATTTTTATTAATATTATAGTTTTGGGTTTTTTGATCCTTTAACCACTTGTTTTTATTTCTTTTACTGCGCTTACCTTCTCATTGCTTTTTATTTGCTTTTATCTCTTAGTTTCTTACATCTTTTTAAATCTTTGGTCCTCTTGGTCTCAGCTCATGTTGTTGGGTTCTTGTGTTCCTGGGTTCTTATGATGGTTCTTATGATGGTTCTTATGATGGTTCTTATGATGGTTCTTATGATGGTTGGGTTATATATGTCTGGTTGTGTATCGTGCACTTTGGGTTCTTTTCTGTTGAATTGTTTTTAATTATTTTTGGTATTTTGCATCTGTTATATTCTTACTGTTGTTAATGTTTTTCTGTGTTTGGTTTAGTTTGCTTTGTTCTTGCTGTTTGTCAAAGCACTTTGTAAACCTGGGTTTTTAAAAGGTGCTATATAAATAAAGTTATTATTATTATTATTATTATTATTATTACTCTGGTTCAATCATCTCCAATGAAGGAAACAACAAAACACTGTTCTCACTGCTAAATACAATTCTCCAGCCACCAAACTCCCTAACCCCCCCTACCTGTACTCAACTGACACCTGTGAATCCCTAATGCTGTTTTTGAATGAGAAAATCCACAATATTCACCAGCACTGAGCTCACCTTCATCACAGACACGTGTCATTATTGAAAACAACAAATAAATAAATATAAAGAAATATAAAGAAATAATATCTTCAGAATCAATACAGGCTAAATCGATTAATTTTAAAATTGTATTTTATAATTCCAATGTGTAGTTGCAATAAATTCTGTCGATCTGGTTGCTTAGTAACCATGGGATGGAATTGACAGGCACGTTCGATTTGAACCCGCGCTTTGATGACGTCAAAGAACGGTCAAAACCGAGGTTATGAAGAGAGACTGTTTGAGTCATTAGAGTTATTCACTTTAACAAGTGGATCATCATTGTCTCGCTCCGCTCCGCCCCATCGAGACTCAGTTTGAGTTTTCATCATAGAACACTCGAAAGCATTCTGATATGAGAGGAAAACATTGAACGAGACAGTGTTCAACAAATTATATAACCAACAGCAACAGCCCTCTGACTCATGGGGGGAAAAACAGTCTCGTAATGAACACAAGCCAACAAACCATTCTACTGTAAATCACACATTACAAATACTAAGAAACACAACAGCTGCTTTTTAAAGCATTAAACAGCTCAATATCTTCAGTTTATCGAGTACCACAAAGCATGCTGGGAAGTGACAGAACGTTGTACAGTACAAGTGTCCAAGAAAAAAACTCGGAGGTCTTCGTGTTTATAACTTTTTTATTAACAAACCTTTATTGACAATTATGAGAGCAACACGACACGAGAGCAGAGTCAGTAGGTCTACGTCTTCATGTGCTTTGAATGAGTCCATTTATTGTGTTAGAAAACGCGGTTTGGAGGACATTTATTATTACATATAGCACTCAACCAGGGCCGAACTGGCCTAAACGCTCTGCGCATGCTCCACTTTTCCCGCGCATAACGTGTCGTGAGAGACGAGCAGCTCTGATCAAATGACAAACAACACAAACGGGTGCTGAAGCTTTATTAACTGAGAAAGATACACATATTACTCGTCTTCAGAAAAGTCATATATTCCCAACAACTAGATGTTATTTAAATGAATTCTGATTTTGGCTAAATATTTCTTATATGCGATGAAATGGCTCAGCAAAGCACCCTCCTTTTAGTTTGAAAATATCTATCCACTGTTGAAAATCTAAAGATCACAAATAAGAAATGTATAAAAGAATATCTCCAAATTAGCAGACTCCTCCTGTTTTGTTTGTTTTTCTATTATTCAATATTGATATTTGTTCAATTTGTATACTTGTTTATTTTTAATTCTGTACTACAGTAGACGTGGGAAGTTATCTTGTGTGCACATTAAAATGATCTTGTGGTAATAAGTTATCTAATGCAGACAAGGTGGATGATAATATGAGCACACAAGTTAATGTATATGTTTTACCTTTGGGACTTTAAAGGCAGGGTTGGTCATTGGTAGACGAAGCACTGTAATAAATAACTGTATATGAAGGTATGTGGCACGCTCTCAAGATGACTCTAATGTTTCCGCCTGAGTGAAGTAATTAAAAGACAAAGCTGCATTTAGGAACAGATGGTATTTTATTGAGGTGATTTTTGTCTCTACAGCTCCTGATTAAATCTTTATGGTGAACTCTGAACCTAAACGCTGCACGTTAAAATATCAAATGTAAAAAACATCACTTTTTACAGAGTACAAGAAAAACTAAGCAGGTGTCAAATATATATTATGTTGATGAGAACCAAAGACGACAGCTTCAATGTTTCTGTACATAAAAAAAATAAAAAACCTAATATTGTGAAAGTCACACAAACAAACCGACGTTACAGCGAAACAAACGCTTCACATTCAAACCGAATCACACAGAATCTCTCAGTACAGTAACGGTAAAACTACGCTCACGTGCCCAGAGTTTAACACGGTCGATAAAATGTTTCATTTAAAAAAATATCACAATTAGAAAATTAAGAGAACTAGGTTTTTAAAAAAAATACACTTTAAAAACATGTCGACACTAAAAATATCAGCGTTCAGACGTCATCGGTGGCTTAAGTTAAAGTCCAAGGGTCACTCCTCCCGCTGACGTCTGAGTTCACATCAGTTCACATTGATTTAGTCCGTCGCTCACAGCCCAGGCATGATGTAGGCGATATTATCCAACGTATTAGACTGAAAAACACAGAGAGGTAAGTTGGAAAAATGCAAATTAAAGATGTACATGTTCACTGCACAACACAATATGTAACTCTGACCCCTAGTGGTTAAAATGGGTACTGCAGTCTAAATTCTAAACATCATAGAGAGCTGTCTCCCCCCCCCCCCTTCATTCTCACTCAGGTCACCATGTGGTGGACTCTGAAGCTTCAGTGTTTATCCAGCTCTGCATGGGTCTGTAAACCTTTCTGTGTTCTAACCTCTCTCCATTTTTCAAAAGCATCTCCAATATTGATCCTAGTTTGAGCACGTTTCTGCTCGTGGAGCTTATTAGAAACATGCAGAGGCTTTTTAGGTCGGGTACAATCACTTCTATCTGAACCACTTCTCTTGACCGCTTCCATCGCTGCAACACCTGTTGACCTGATAACTGCTCTCATATCTGACAAACCCAGGGGCGTCCAAAACGGCCGTGTGGGGTGTGTGTGTGTGTGTGTCTTAAAAGCGTCTACCTTCTCTGGTCCAAACAAATCCAGAGCATTCAGGAGCAGAATCTAAAGTTAGAAGGAGGACATACTGGCTGCTGCAAAATCTGCAGACTGACTGATATAAATGTGATGATGATCCTGCATTGTGATCATCTTTTATGGCCTGGTCTTGCCTCGTAGTCCTTACTGTGGAAACATTAATGTAACTAATGCAACATCAATTGATGTTTATACTGTACCAGGACGTTTCGAGGACATCCGTTCAGCTTTGGTATCTGTGCTGTGAGACAGGTCAGCGGTCCGAGTGCACACAGGATCGAGTCCAGGAGGACAGACAGACTCCCGGACACGGCCACCATTCCCTGTCACAAACAAAACATCGCTCACTTATTCCTCTGCACAGAAATAAAACAATTCTCGTTTTAAACTTCATACGGGTCGTGTTGTGCAAGCATGCATGACGGGATTAACGTACCTCTGTTTCCTGCAGCCTGTGTCCAATCAGAGACAGGGACTCCCCCAGGAGCTGCAGGTGAGCCGCTGCATCGATGGGATCTACATCAGGGACTCGAGCTGGAGACAGGGACAGGTTGCTGGGCGCTCTGTTGGGAGAGACCATCCCCGTTCCTGCTCCTACAACTGTCAGGAGCCAGAGAATAACGACTTGAGAGCTAATCTTCACTCCCCCTTATTAACTAGACGTGGACGAATCTGCATCGATGCAGCGAGAGAACAGAATCGATCCTGACGTTGCTCATAGATTTTCAATCTGCAGCTTGACCTTTAGAACTAAGCTCAGCCGTCGTCACATCTTTTGATTCTGCAACTGGTGGAGGAGGAATTTATATACTCATATCGCGATTAATGTGCTGAATCTGACACCCCCCTGAAAAATTATAACAAGGGCAGACTGGACGGAAACCTGCCAAATGAAACCCTCATATCATCACGTTACCGTGGTTACGTCTCGTTTCGATTTATGAACAACTTCTGGATTCCACGACACAAAGTTCAGACTCTACTTTTTTGTGTCTATTGCTTCGTCTGCGCAGCAGTGAAAATATCTCCTACCTTTGCTCTTGCCCTCGCTGGCACTCTTGTGTTTGACCGTGGTGGCCTCCGCTTTGTTCTGTTTGTGCTGCAGGTACTGAGCCTTCTGCCTCCACACCTGCAGAAAAAAAGAACAAACCGCCGACACAGTGTTTAAAAACACCGTCATGACGTTGCAGAATCATTTACAGACACGGTGAAAAACTCACTAGTTTGTCTTTTTCTGGCATCGCCTTCCACACCTCGGCCAACTTCTTGCTCAGCTCACCAAACACTGTGAATCAGACGCACACAGATACTTGTTGTTATGTGAAATTTACCACCGACCAGTGTCTTTAAGAGTTAAGATTATATTACCCACCTAGTCCTGGCTGCTCTGCGTTAATGTTGACCCTATACTCTTTACAGAACACCTGATAGGCCGTTGTGTTCTTCTTCTTGGGCTGAAAGAGGAAAAATAAATTAACAAATAATGCAAGAAAAGCGAACACACAACCAGAAAACAAGTATTAGGTGTAAAGTAACTTTGAGCAACGAGAGAGAATAAGAAACATGAGCACGAGCACAGCAGCAGCAGAAACACATATTAGATCAGATTAACAGTAACAATGTATTATAGACGGATTCAATATTTAAAATAAGTGTGACAGGAGAGCCGTGCAGGAACATGCAAACAGCGTACAGTACGAGGCGTGATTCAGTGAAGTCAGATTTAGTATCCTACCTTGTCTTTTTCCTTCTCGTGCTTTTCCCGATCTTTCTCCTCCTTCTTCTTCTTCTTCTTCTCTGGCACTCCGTCGCTGCCCGGATGGTGGTGTTGAGGGACGGGCGTGCCCATGGCGTACATCGGCCCCACAGAGCTGTGGGTGACAGTGGGGTGGGAGTGGCTGTGGCTCCTCGAGGAGTCTGAAGAAAGTCAAACAAAGACAAAACGGATAATGAGCTCCTGTTCTTACATTTCAGGTAGATGTTTTAAATTTGGGCTCCTCCGTCCTATCTCTAAGATGAGGCGCAAAAAGCCCAAAAAAGAATTCTTGATAAAGAAAACCAAAGGAAAGAGTAAACTGACCTCCAAAGCCTTTGCTGTGCTTCTTGTCCTTCCCACTCTTCTCCTTATCTCTGTCTTTTTCTTTGTCTTTTTTCTTCTTGCTCTTTTTGCTCTTCTTCTTCTTCTTCGACAGGTGTGTGTATGAATCATCGATAACCAGCTCACCGGCCTCCAGCTCCCCCCCTGATGAGGAGCTGTCGTCTCCCATGCCTCCTCCATAATGACCTGCCCAACAGAAAACACAGGGTCTGTAATGTGAAGCCACCTTAGCCCTCCATCCCATTCAATGTGTAAACAGAAATATTTTCTGAGTTCATCATGAGAGCTGGCTGTCGATCAGTAAAAGTCTTACCTTCCACCTCCACCTCTTTGCCCACTACGGGCAGCGGATCTCGACTCTGCTGCTGTTTCTTCTTGGGCGTCTTTGAGACCTGCATCCTGTCTCGATCCCTCTCTTTCTTCGTGCCTCCTTTGGACGAGTGAGGCGTGAACGGGAAGCTCTCTCCTTCCTCTTTCTCCGGCGACATGATGAGCTTCATCTTCAGCCCGTCGGCCTCTCGCAACGTCAACGGTTCCTCTTTCGGGGCTCCGCCGTGGAACAGAGACGACTTTGAGGACGAGGAGGAGTGCTTCTTAGAGGAAGATGACGACGAGGAAGCGGGGCGGGAGTGAGAGGAGTGGCTCCCTTTGCTCCCGCCGCCGCTGCTGCCCTCGCGTTTGCGGTCCTTAGAGGAGTGCGAGGAGAAGGAGGGGTAGGAGGGTTTCTTGTGCAGGTGGGGGCTGGGGTCTGAGCCTGTGGCCAGAGGGGAGGTGATCGCCTGCAGGAGGCCCATGGCTGTATCTGTCGGGTGGGAGGACGAAGTGGAGGAGAGCGTAGGAGAGCGATCTGCAGACTTGTGCTTCTTCTTATGAGGAGGTGGACCTGAATGATCGTGTTCTGACAGAAACAAAGAGGAAAAAAAATATTTAAAGACTCAAGGCCTCTGAAAGGCTTCTTCAGTTCTAAACTAACCGGTGAACGGAGCAAGAAATGGAAGCCTGTGTGGATCATTAGCATGCTAAAATTGGCTTAAATTTCCGGCTCTGTTCACAAGTTAGTTTAGCCCTTCATAGGAGAAGTGAAACATCTTCAAGATCTTCTACTAAGTCCAGTATCCTTTGGATCAAGCTTCAATTTAGCATTTTTACTATCTTTGCATTTGCACAGTAAAAAGAGAGAAAGTTCATTACAACACATGAACATCTTACCTCTGTAATAGTGGTCGTCACTGTGTTTCTTCTTCTTTTTATGCGAGTCTCCTCCGAGCATGAAAAGTTCTGAATCCTTGCAGGTCAGGACATTTTCAAAGTTTAATAAAAAACATAATGAGCAGTACAACATGTCAAAGGTTTTTTCTTTTCTCAAATGAAGTGATTTGGACGCATAACTTACCTTGGGACGTTTCTTGGAAGACTTCCGAACCTGAGCAGCAATCTCCTCTTCCTCTCTGAGCAGATCTTTGTACGACCTCCTCTTCTCTCTCTGGCTACGGCCGGCAACGAGGCCTCGGTCTCCGTCCATCCCCATGTCTGCCAAACATTTATAGAGTATTATAATCATGGCACAAACTTGGTATTAATGGGAATATTCTAACAAATTATCTGAGGGGTCTAATCATATCAACATTCTTGAAATATATGATCTGTCAGCTCCTTGGGAGAAGTGGCTACACTCAACGTTTTCAGTACTAATTGATACGTTTCTGAATGAAGAAAAGTGCAAATATTTGATAATAATTTAAAGTAGAAACACAGAAACATTGCATGCATTGTGCAGGCAAGTTTTACCAAATCCTCCTTTACCCTTGATCTCCTCGAACGCCATGGTCCCTCCTCTGTCGACACGTTTGCTTGTCCCAGTTTGTCACCGCTAACTTAATGACCTGTTGAGTAAACATTAAGAGAAAAGCTCAGTAAGGTGTTCAGTATGTAATAAATCTTTCTTCAATAAATCGCTATGGCATCGTTATCGCGATCTGAGCTGACAATGATTTGACCACAATGAACTGATCGCAAAAGTCTGAATATATTGCATGACCAGAAAATGATTATATTTAAGGATAATATATATCTCGTTCAGTGTGCTGTGTGCACATTGTTGATTGATGGAGGTCCAGACATGCTCACTATCAGATACCCTCAGATTAACTGATTTAGTTTATTTTTTCATTTTTTTGGCTTCAGGAGATAAATGTTGTAAATACAAGTTTGGTATGAAAACCTGAAGAACAGCAGATAGAAAATATGATATATAATAATTATATGGGTTGCATCAGTTATTATCATGTGCACACAATTTATATCACTTTTTAAAACTTTTTGGGACTTTAGGGGCTCTGTAGATGTTAGATTAGCATTTAAAAAAAAAAAAACATAAACTTTGTTTTGCTTAAATTCAATTAAAACTTGTTCAAGTAAAAACATTTTTAATACATTGAATTCACTTCATATTGTTGACCTCCGAATAACAAGGTGCAGAATATAACTTTAGCCTTTTGTATTGTCATTTTATGTTCTTGTAAAGTTACTCAGAGATCATAAATAATAAATAACACTTTAATAAACATCCTTTAGCTGAACCCGACCCCCTGTAGCCCGGGTTGGGGGTAACCTGACCCCCTGTAGACCGGGTTGGGGGTAACCTGACCCCCTGTAGACCGGGTTGGGGGTAACCTGACCCCCTGTAGTCCGGGTTGGGGGTAACCTGACCCCCTGTAGACCGGGTTGGGGGTAACCTGACCCCCTGTAGTCCGGGTTGGGGGTAACCTGACCCCCTGTAGCCCGGGTTGGGGGTAACCTGATTGGGGGTAACCCGACCCCCTGTAGTCCGGGTTGGGGGTAACCCGACCCCCTGTGGTCCGGGTTGGGGGTAACCCGACCCCCTGTGGCCCGGGTTGGGGGTAACCCGACCCCCTGTGGTCCGGGTTGGGGGTAACCCGACCCCCTGTGGTCCGGGTTGGGGGTAACCCGACCCCTGTGGTCCGGGTTGGGGGTAACCCGACCCCCTGTAGTCCGGGTTGGGGGTAACCCGACCCCCTGTGGTCCGGGTTGGGGGTAACCCGACCCCCTGTGGTCCGGGTTGGGGGTAACCCGACCCCCTGTGGTCCGGGTTGGGGGTAACCCGACCCCCTGTAGTCCGGGTTGGGGGTAACCCGACCCCCTGTGGTCCGGGTTGGGGGTAACCCGACCCCCTGTAGTCCGGGTTGGGGGTAACCCGACCCCCTGTGGCCCGGGTTGGGGGTAACCCGACCCCCTGTGGTCCGGGTTGGGGGTAACCCGACCCCCTGTGGTCCGGGTTGGGGGTAACCCGACCCCCTGTGGTCCGGGTTGGGGGTAACCCGACCCCCTGTAGTCCGGGTTGGGGGTAACCCGACCCCCTGTGGTCCGGGTTGGGGGTAACCCGACCCCCTGTGGTCCGGGTTAGGGGTAACCTGACCCCCTGTGGTCCGGGTTGGGGGTAACCTGACCCCCTGTGGTCCGGGTTAGGGGTAACCTGACCCCCTGTAGTCCGGGTTGGGGGTAACCTGACCCCCTGTGGTCCGGGTTGGGGGTAACCTGACCCCCTGTGGTCCGGGTTGGGGGTAACCTGACTAGATAACCGCCTCCAACTTGAGGAAAAAGCTAATTTGTGTTATTTTGTTTAAAATAATAATTCGTCTTCCTCTTAGGAAACAGTACAGCACTAAATATCTTAACATATTCCCGCCTACTTTCATAAAGATATTCAAACACACCCCCCTCTCTATTTACTTCGACTCCACTAGCTTTCAGTCTCATGGCCGTATCGCCGAGCGGGCATGTCGGTGTGAGCCGCTCAGGAAAGTTCGAGGCTTTAACCAACAGCTAGGCCGCGGTCGACACAGCAGCACAAAGATGAAACACGTGGATTAAAAAGCTGCTCGTGTGCTCTCATCGTCTGTTAGAGCAGCATGTGTAGTTTACGAACAACAGAAGAGGAGAAAATTATGTGTTTTTAAAATAATAGTACCTCTACTAGGTGTCCAATTTACGCGGGTCCGGCCGCCATCTTTTATTATCGGTGAAACAACAATACGTGTCTGTGGAGGGGAGGGGCTTAGGTGACGCAGCCAATCAGCAGCGAGGAGTAGTAGCCATATTAGCAATACATTTACTGAAGCTCCGCTGAAAACTATTCTACTGTCGACATGTGAATTTAAAGCTCCTGTGTTTTTCACTGGTTATAAAACAGACTGATAATAGAAATATTGTCTCTTTATGAGCTTCAGTAGAGAACGAGACTATCAGAGACAACATTATTAATTTCTATACATTTATTTTTAATACCTGAATGTGAGGTGACGGGGTGTCTGACAGAGAGATAGGGGAGCTTTAATGTTCAGAGTTTGAAGGGGAGGGGAAGGGAGGTTTTATTTTATTATTAGGTTTATTAGTTTGTGTAAGAAACAACTTTAATCTGCTCTTACTTCCCTTCAATTCTCTCTCTCACACACACACACACACACACACACACACACACACACACACACACACACACACACACACACACACACACACACACACACACACACACACACACACACACACACACACACACACACACACACACACACACACACACACACACACACACACACACACACACACACACACACACACACACACACACACACACACACCAACAATTTAGCATCAGCTATAAACACCAGCTGTCAGGCTGCTGTTTAGCATAAGTGACGTAACATAGCTGAGCTGCCATCACATCTTAGGACATTCATATTGATTCTGTAACAGCAACGAAATTTCGTTCTTATCTGCACTGTAAAAAACAAATTTGAATGACAATAAAGAAAGTCTAAGTCTAAGTAATGTTGATCAGTCTCAGGTGATAAAGGCTACGGATAAAAGAGAGGTCGGGAAATATACTTGTGCAGCCCGCCCGAGAGTCGTCTACGATGTGACAGGGAAAACTGATGTTGATATTTCAATTCATTTAATAACAGCATAACAATAGTTATATTTTTACATCAAATACTCAAGACATTGTTTTTCCTTTTTTTGCCAAACATGTTGATTTTATTGATTCACATGTATTAATTTCCATCAACAGCAAAATTAAGTCTTACAGCACATTTCACATAGAAAACCAAACATGCAATCCAAAGAGAAAAGGCAACATGATGCAGAGACGCTGTGCATAAGAAAATCATAAAGAGCACTGTGAAAACTTTCATGAGAAATACGCCTCAAAATCATCTGCAAAATAAGCTAATGTTGGCAGGCGAAACGTCACACACACACACACACACACACACACACACACACACACACACACACACACACACACACACACACACACACACACACACACACACACACACACACACACACACACACACACACACACACACACACACACACACACACACACACACACACACACACACACACACACACACACACACACACACACACACACACACACACACACACACACACACACACACACACACACACACACACACACACACACACACACACACACACACACACACACACACACGACGAGGTTTTGAAATGTGACCGTCTCATGCTACTGCAGATCGATATTCACCTTCATATTATTGTCATATTGCTGATCTGGGTCGAGGCTAGCGCTGCAGTTTCTGCTCTTCAGCTCTCTAAACACGTTAACTTCTACCTGTCACCCAGATTCTGTTTCTGTAGACTGAGCGACGTGAAACTCGCCAACAAATCGGTCACCTCATCCACCTGGGGAAAAAAGCAAAACATTCAATATTCAAGTTACAAATGCAAAGTACATTTATCAAAGAAAATCCAAATAAGGAATGCTAAATCTTGATTTGCCTGCATCTATATTTAGTGTTCTATATGTGATATTTTAAACATGAACACAGCAGATGTCAAACATATCTGAACTTAATCACTGAGGGGGCTGGTGGCTTAGTGGTTAATGCACCCGCCCCATGTACGGAGGCTAAAGTCCTCCAAGGCGGTCGGTTTGGATCCAACATGTGGCTCCTTTCCTGCACCTCATTCCCCACTCTCTCCCTGAGTTCTGACTCTATTCACTCTTATCTATAAATAAAAGGCATAAAAAGCCCCTAAAAATGTAATGAATTCTTTAAATGAATCGTTGAGTGACTTCCTAATAAAAGAGAGTGAAGTCAGACTCCCTTTGGGTTTGTTGTTCTCAGCTCTGGGTTCACACTGACGTTGCCAAAGTCGTTGTGTGATTTAGTGTTCAGGAGTTCGCCTGCCATTTTGGTTAATGGTAAACAACAAATGACCCAATACTGAGCGCCCTTTGATTTTTGCTGCTGGGGTATCGAAACAAGTATTGATATTGTTTGATTTTCACTAGAATCAAATAAGAGTTTAAAAAAAAATGAGTGTGAAGGTGTCACCTGCTCTTTGGTGCGTGTGTGCAGCAGCTGTGTGGAAATGTGTTCCAGTCGCTCTTTAGCTTCGCTCTGCCCCATCGAGTTCAGATATTCCCTCAGCATTTGAATAATCTGCACGAGAAAGACAAAAAAGGACTCGGATGTTGAAGCGATCCTGATCAACATGAAACATCTCAAAGTCAGGTGAGTCGGCGCTTGCTCTACCTGTGTGACTTCTCCTCTCAGCGTCTCTAAGCTGCGCGAGTCTCCCTCCTGCAGGATGTTGAGCTTAGAGCGAGCGAGATGCATCGGGGTCCTTCCTGCTCGGTCCAGGGCGTCCACACGAGCTCCTGAACGAGAGCACAAAAATCTCTCATTCATAAACGCTGAATAATCAGTAATACAGCCAGCTAACTTACCAAGAGCATTACTATGATGTGAAACTAATCTGACACACTAAGACCCTCTCAGCGTCTCACCTCCTCTCAGCAGCGTGGTGATTACAGGCACGTGGTTGGTGCAGGCCGCTGCAGAAACAGGTGACAAAAATGATGGATTAAATACGACAATAACACAAATTTAAACACGTGTTGCATTCAAAGTGAAGTTTTCTGAACTGCAAAGATCCAAGTCACCTGTGCAAAGTCGACAAGCTAACGATACCATCTGTGTCACCTTCTGTCCTGCTATGGACAAATATGTTTGCTCCTAATCTGAGGAGTAACTGAGAACCTTATGACAGACGTGGAGGACTGTTGCGTCCTCCATCCTCAGAAATATTTACATTCTTCTGTTGGGTTTTTGGAGGTTCTGGTATCTCGTTTATTGGAGCTATTTAATTAATGTTAGAATTAGTTTTGGTGTTTAGTTTACTAATATTTGGGTGGTGTTGTTTATTTAATTATTCTACACGTTTTCTTTATTTAGAATAGATTTTTTGGTAGTATTTTCTTTTGCTAGTTATTTGTTTAGTAACTTTAGTTTTGCATTAGTGTTTTTGTTAGGTATTTGGGTAACACTGTGGGCACCAGAGGTTATTTAAGTAAGAGGCAGGTAGAGGACCAGCATGCACCTGGGTGGGCCTATTGTTTTTTACCAGAGCAAGAGACATTGGATTTCTTTTGCCTGCGTACATCACATTCCCACGGTGCATCAGTGGTCAATATTTTTGATATTAGTTTATTTAGATTTTGTTTTTGGACAAATAGCCCCTCGTTGAGTCAGAAAAAACAGAGCAGAGTTTTATTTCTTCCTGTGAATGAGAAACGCTTTTCTACCACTCTGCAGTTCATCTGCACGTTTAAAAAAAGGTTTGAAGTAGAGCAGCTGCATGTTAGTGTGAGGTTAGTGACCACAGAGCTGCAGGTGTCACATACTCAGGGGGGGTCGGTCTTTCTTACCCAGATGGAGGGGGGTATTTCCCAGACTGTCTCGCTGGTTGGGGTCAGCGCCGTGACTCAGTAACAATTGCACTGCAGACATAAAAAAAAAAAGAAAACACGACAGGAGACTTAAAATGAAGACTTTCAACACCAAAGATCAACAATGTATAACTCAAAAATGTAACTGAATCAAATGTTTTATTATTTCTAATTGTTTTTTTTCTTATTCTGTATGACGCTGCTCAGGGAAATGCTTTGCTGTTTTGCAGGAAAATAAATGAGGTGTGCACAAAAATCAGCAGGTCTTAAATGAAAACTGAAATCTACAGGGAACAATCCTGAAATAATAAATGTGTTCTTAAATGTGGTGTACAATAGATAGAAGTGTGTAAAGCATGCAGCGTTGTACACAAAGTCTGCTGTGGATAACAAACCTCATGTGGCTGTTTTTCTGTTTTCACTTTCTTATCAGTGACCTACCGATGCCCTCGTTGCCGTTGCAGGAAGAGAAATGCAGCGCCGTCCTTCCCTTGTCGTCTGCAGCACAGGGGTTGATGTCATCCTGCAGGAGCTTTCGAACTACACACACACACACACACGCACACACGCACACACACACACACACACCTCTCTTATTGTACCTATTATTGATATCTTACTTACTTTCCTATTCTATTTCATTAATATTTTTATTTCTATATTTCTACTGTTATATTGTTTATTTTGGAGCAACTGTAATGATCGAATTTCCCTCTGGGATTAATAAAGTTTTTCTGATTCTGATAACATTCACTGATCGTCTCACCTGTGTCGATGTCGTTGCTGTTCGCCGCCTCCCTCAGTCTTTTCACCGCTGCAGAAATAAGACATTTCAATTTAAATGTTGCTGTACGACTGGATGGATGGGTTCAGTTTGCACTGGAGCATTAGAGCGACAAACAAAGAAAGCATTCACAGGAAGCCTCTTTCAAAAGGGCGCTTGATTGTTGGAACAGGAACAGTGCAACGTTACGTAAACCTTTCATCTGTGTAACACTGGGCTCTGATTGGAAGAGATGGATTTGATTTCAACACATGATACTAGACAGCAATTCTTGTTCCCAATATGACTAACTCTATATATCTAGGTATCTACACCAATATAAACATACCGATTTCAAAAAGTAACTTTAAAGAAACAAAGTCTGACACCTCCTCAAAGGACACTTCTTTCATCTAATGTTCTTAAAGGTCCAATCAGTGAGCTGTGTAGAGAGTGAGATGATAAAGGTATCTTACTATCTGATCATTAAGGAAACATGCTATGTTGAAGTGCTGGCTTCTCTGACAACAATGCAGCAGCCAGTATGTCCTCCTTCTAACTTTAGATTCTGCTCCTGAATGCTCTGGATTTGTTTGGACCAGAGAAGGTAGGCGCTTTTAAGACACCCCCCCACATGGCCGTTTTGGACACCCCTCGGTTTGTCAGATATGAGAGCAGTTATCAGGTCAACAGGTGTTGCAGTCAAGAGAATGGTTCAGATAGAAGTGATTGTACCCGACCTAAAAAGCCTCTGCATGTTTCTAATAAGCTCCACGAGCAGAAACGTGCTCAAACTAGGATCAATATTGGAGATGCTTTTGAAAAATGGAGAGAGGTTAGAACACAGAAAGGTTTACAGACC